GAGTTTCTTTTTTTTTTTTTTTTTTTTTTTTTGTCTTTTGTCTTTTTCCGTGTCCGGCAACGGATCGCAACCCTCAGTGTTGCCCCCGTACCGGACCAGGGACCGGCAACGGGATTGCAAACCTCGGCGTTGCTCCCGCGCCTCGCTCAGCCAGTGAGCGGGAGCCGGTCCATATGTGGGATCCGAACCCTCGGGCGGGAGCGCCACCGCGCTTCCCAAGCGGCGCACTACCCAGTGCGCCACCGGGCCGGCCCTAGAGTTCCTTTATATCTTAAAAACAATTAAGTACCCCAGAGATCTTTTGTTATTTGGGTCATATCTATCGATTTTTCTCCTATTAGAAGTTAAAAGCTGAGAAATTTAAAAGATATTCATTCAAAATGAATAATAGTGGACTCATGATTTTTTTGTTGTCTTGAAAAAAATACTTTTTTTTTTTTCATAAAAATCTTAGAAGAGTGGCATTGTTTCGCACTTATATTTTGGCAGATATCTTTCCTATCTGGCTGATAGAGCGCAGATGGATTCTTATGTGCTTCTGTATTCACTCTCTTGCTGTCAGGTCTTGTAGCTCTAGAAAACGGAACATTTGTGAGTGAATGAAAATGAAAAAGGCAAATAATGTATCAGTATAATTATTAAGATAGTTTTGACCTCATGGACCACCTGAAGGGGTCTTGGGGACCCCAGGAGTCCCTAGATGACTCTGAAGCCCTTCCCTCCATGCTTCTAATCTGCAGTGGTACATTTGTAGATAAACAGCGTTGCTTGGGCTGGAACCTTTATTGGAGTTTTCCTTGGGAATAGAATGAGGCCTCCCCTGCCCAGGGCCTCTGGAGATGAGGCTTCCACACCTGGTTTGGGGTTGGGGGTGGTTCTTGGCATTGCCACAGTTACTGATGGGGTCCCCTTATGAGTTTATATTTTGCGAACATTAAGAAAGAGGAACCTTATGACTCTAGGAACCATAGATCCCAGAGGTCAGATATTGTCTTCTGTAGTCTCCATAAATCACTGTGGCATCTTGAAGGTTCCAGATCGATGCCACCTCATTTCCCAGGTGCTCTGTGATGTGGCACAGAAGCCTGCCATCAGTGTGTCCTATTCCTGGTTTGGACGATATGGCAAGTGCAGCACAGGGCCCATGATGGCTTTGGCCTTGAGCATGGTGGCATTGACTGGAACAGAAGGCCTGGGAACATGCCTCCTGTGTAGATGGCCTGGTTCTATGCTCTGCAGAGTTTGGCCTCTCCTGCTGAGGAGCCTCCTGAACCAAATCAGCATGTGCTTGAGGGCCCTGAATAAATGTGAAAGTTTGCACTTTTTGAGGTAAAAACACTATCGTCAAATATTCTTCAAGGCCTTGCTTTTCTTGTTGTTTTCCCCTGAGAGGTACTTTATTCATGTGAAGTTAGTGGTCTCTGGACAACCCTATTTACTCTGTCCTTGTGGGGAGGAAGTAATTGTTCCCAGGGCAGAATGCCATTGGAGAGAATTTTTAACCTTTAAGGTTCCTTAATGGAAGGTGGCTATTTGCTGAGCAATTCGTGTGTCAAACTGTCAGGAATCCAGTGGCCAGCTGCGAGGTATAACCTAGTTCCGGTTCCTTTTTCAGGAGCCTCATGCTTTGTTTTAGGACAGTCTTCAGGGTCACTGGGATAATATCTCTGGCTTCTGGGGTAACCCCAATGGTGAGAGTGGCAGGAGGGAATCTTTGCTGTGACGCGGAACACACAGCACTCTGAAGAGAACCCCCTGATATTAGGTGTCCTGCTACAGACTAGGAGCTCTGGCTAGGCAGGAGCTGGGTCTATGTGATGTCTCCCTGGCTCCCAGCACAATTCCTGCCATAGATCTGCAGAGGACATTTGTGTATGACTGGGTGTTCTCACATCAGTTGTCAGACGGTGGAAACCCTTTTTCAGACAAAGCAAAGCAGTCTGAGACATTTCAGACCTGTGCATATTTCATTCTTTCTACTCCTGATTTTTTTCTTCTCCAGTGACAAGAAAAGAAAGTTGGAAGCCAAACAAGAACCCAAACAGAACAAGAAGTTGAAAAGAAACAGGGACGCAAAGAACAAAAAAGATATGAAACTGAAGTGGAAGAAATAGTGACGAGGAACTCTGGCATAAGCAGCCGACCCATGAGGACATGCCCGGACCTCCTCTCTGGCTGGATGGGGCTGCAGCCTAGGCTGTTAAAAGCAGCAAGAGCCCCTGGCAGACTGAGGGTCCCTGGTCCTGACTGTGGCTGTACGCCATTCCGCTCCTGGCTCCATCTAGCAGGGCTGCTGCCCCAGTGTCTCAGAAAAACCTGAGCCCTTAATTTAGGGAGGATATGACATCCGAGTGCCTAAGGCCTGTTATTTCATCCATTTGGGAAAAAATGTTGGGAAAGGACCTTTTGCTAGCAGCGGAGAGGGGAGGGGTATATATTTTTAATAAATAACATCCTAGAAAGACCCAAGTGCCTGTGGGCGATCATGAAAGCCATGTATATGGAAGTTGTATGTTGCCCTGTTTCTTCTTGTGGATCTAGGCTGCCAGGTAGAATTTGGAGGGTGTTGGTGTCAAGGCCAAGGGTGGGCAGCATGGCTAGGGCTTCCCAGCCCACAAGCCTGTGGGAGAAGTGGCAGGCATTGAATGGTGCTGTGGTCACCTGGAGGGGCTTGGTGTGCCTGGAAGCCACCTAGCTGTGCCTTCTTTCCTCCCTAAATTTGGCCAAGTCGTTTGTCCCCTCCATTTGTTGGGGACAGAAATTATCTGGTGACTTCACACATACTTTGGTGTGTTCGTTTGATGGATTCCACACTGTGAGTTCAAAGAACCTTTCCTTAGCCCTAATATGTGATTAGGGTTCTAGAAGTCTAACAGAAGGACAGGGGTGCTTTGGGACCAAAGGGTACTCAACATGCAGTTCCCAGAGAGAGACGAGCAGGTGCTGTGCCTGTCCCTAGGACTGCTGCACCTTGTCTCCGGACTGTTGAGACCTGGGCGTAGGGGACTTTTGTTTCCTGGTCCTGCAGCTTCTTGCCTACAGAACCTCTGTTAAATTTGTAGGAAACTTTGTTGAGAGGGACACGAGAATAATTTTTATGTATTTTCTCAGGTGGGTGCCTGAGCCTGCCTTTAAAAGAGAATTTTCTAAGGAAAGTGTGGCCAAAAAGCAGAGTCCAAACCTTAGGTGGCTGGAGTTGGATGGTATCTTAAGAGTTATTAAAGTACATCACCCTACACGTTAGATCTAGTGTTCGCTGTCTTCAGCCCCAAAGCTCATCCAGCTGGCTCGGCTCTGGGGTGCAAATGAGAGTGGGCTGTGAAGCCAGGGCTTTGATACTGGCTCTGCCCTGACCCTTGCTATGACCTTGAGCATGTTACTTCACTCTGCCTGCCTTCCAGGTCCGCATCACAGGGCTGTGGTGAGAGGTGGGTGGAGTAGAGTAGGAAGAGCATAGAGTGGTGCCTGGCACATGGCAGGTGCCCACTAAGTCTCTTTGGGCCCTGGGCACTGTCCTCTGATCCAACTAGGGAGCTGCTCATTTACGCCCAGCTCTAAGGCTACTGAATAAGGACTGGCTATGTTGTCCCAAAACCACAACCTCAGCTACAGAGTCCCGCTTGGACAACAAAGAGCATGCACTTTGCAGTCAGACCTGCAAAGTGTGTGTTCCTAAACAGGGCTCCACATTTTGTGTTCGTGATCTTAGATCTTAGATTTTCCTTCAAACCTGAAGAGGTATGCCTTCCCGAGACCTCACCATCTGGCCCCCAGACAGAGTGACATCTGTAAAGCTTGGCTGTCTGTCTCAGGAAATGTCACTTGCAAAATGAATTCAGATAGGCCAGCTAGATGGGGAGGGGGCTGAATAAGCCTGAACAAAGAAGGGTCCTGAATGGTCTCCCCACCCCTGAGCCAGGAGGGGCTGACACTGGCCTGCTTCAGTGCTTCCACTGCTCATCTGGCCTGGCAGTCCCAGAGGACTCCGGAGTGACCAGGAGATGGGACACAAAGGGGGCTGCCGAAGCTGGGAGGTGGGGGAGGGGCAGAAACAAGGGACCGTCACCTTGGAAAAATGTAGACTCATTATCTGGAGCTATTATGGCACTGACACTGGCAGCCACTCTGCAGGCCTGGAGGAGGGGGCGGAGCTGGAAGCCCCTCGGCCTGAATAGGCAATTTCAGGCTGTGGGGAGAAGGGGATGCCCTTATTCTGCGAACAGCTGGTTAAAGTTGAACATCACAGGGATTCTGTGAAGGGGGGCTGAAAGTCAGCCTGAGAGGGAAGGCCTGAGGCAGCCTTGGGCTGGTTCTGTTGAGTGGAGAGCTGTGCATGTGGCACGGGGAACTTCTGGTGGGGAAGGGTAGTGGGCAGAGAGCAGAGGGGAAAGTGAAACGCCTCCTTGGAAGAAGGCACTCTTAGTGTCAGCCTTGGTGGTCCAGGGTCCACCTCTGGCACCCTCTCCATCTGGAGGTTTTCCTTTAGAGACGAAGGTCCAGGTGCCTGCTGTGTAAGTGCTGGCTTATCGTGGAACAACTGGGGTACAGCGAAATCCCTGTGTGTAACTGATACTTTCAGCCCCTTATTACGAAAGGCTCCTGTAAGGAGAAGTCAGCTCTTCCCTCCCGGCCTGCCTGTGGCTACTAGTCATGCAAAGTGGGCAGCTGGGGGAGAACAGGCCCTGAATTAGGAGGAGGTCCAGCTGCCAGGGGTAAGTGATGGAACACCCCATTTCCATTAGAGTCCTAGCCCCTTAGAAGAATGATTTTTTTCTAGTTTATTTTGAGCGTTTCAAGAGTGTGTTTCTGCTACACGCAGGCTCAAAGGGGCCCCATCTTTCCTTTGTACCTCCCCTTCCTTTTAACATCCCCCAAAAGAAAACTGCTGAGCCCCTGTCTGGAGCCAGATTGTAACTAGATCTTGCCTTTTAGCCAGGGTACTGACAGGCATGTTCTGAAGGTGGTGGGGTATGGGAGAACTCATGGGGAGGGTGGACACAGACCCCTGAAGGGTAGCCACTCCAGATCTTAAGTTCCTCCTCCGCTTTCACAGGGGCCAAAAGATGGTGCCAAAAAGTGCACTTCCCTGCAGCCCCCAGAGAGCGTCATGGGTTCACATGGCCGCAGGGTCCCCTCTCCCCTCCCCACTGTGTCCAGGGCTCCAGGCTGGGACTGCAGCTCCCCTGCTTGACCCCACACCAGCAAATGCTGTGAAATGGGCCCTACCTGAAATTGATTCAGTGAAGTCTTCATGTCACCCCCCCACCCCTGCACTCCCAAGTTCTGGCTTGTCACTGAACCACAGCCACTCTGGGTCAGGCACCCAGTGGCCTCAGGAGTGTCTTTTCCTGACTCAGGTAGAGAACATTTTAAAAACTTTTATTTTTCCCTGGACTTTGCTAAACTACAAACAGGCCCCAGAAAACTCTTGGGCCTGAGTCACCAGCTCCCCATCCTCTTTCCAATACCTCTGCCTGTGCCCCCACTGTAGGCAGCAGCCACCGAGGGACAGGAGCCTCTCATCAGACCAGGCCTGGGTGAAGCCCCGCCCTGAGGTGGGCCATACAGTTTTGGTCTGTGCCAGGGTTTGCAAACACCTCTGAATGAAGATAACCCCACAACAACTCTCACATCGGGGGCTGGGGAGGGGATCAGGAAGGACCCTGACACAGTCTCATTCCTCAGCCATCTGACTCCTGTTCAGCTTAGTGGCGCATATGTGCCTAATGAACATGAGACATCTCCTTCGTCTCCCAGGACAGGGAGGGAGACAGCGCCAGGGAGGGAAGTACCTTGCCCATGGTGGGCGAGGGACGGATCCAGTCTTAGGTCGCAGGGGAGAGAGGAGTGTGGATGGGCCACAGCATTGCTTTGGGGGTGGGGAGTGTCTTTCCCTCTGAGAGATGGGGAGACCTGAGTAACACAGAATCAGCTCTGGGTTTCCTTCCTGGTCCTAATGGGCTCCTCCCAAGCTCTGAACTCTGAGCAACCCGCCACCAGAAGCAATGAGGCTAAGGTCATTGTTAATGAGTATTTATTGTTAATAAAACCATGGTACATTTACAGTAGGTGACAACATTAATGTACAGTTACAGTATCATACAATATTACAGCAATAAAATAACGCCTATCCTTTGTACAGCCAGCTCAAGCGGCTAGTCAAAAATATTTTCCAGGATTGCAAGTGCCCAGGGGCTTTTCAAAGTGACTGATGTGACACCTCCTGAAATGCCTGGGGCTTTGGATGAATAAATAGTTTCTAAGGTGCGGCCAGACAGCTGAAGAAGGCTATACCCAGGGCGAGCTGTCCTCGATGCTGCCCAGTGTCTGGCCCATAAGTACGACAGGTATTGGACCTGATGCTGCACCTCCACTCCAGGTGAGCCCAGGGCCTAAAGAACACAACGTAGGTAGGGGAGGGGGCACAGCAGAATGTCCTCTTCTCCCAGCCCTTCCACCCCCAGTGCCCTGTCCTTTATCCCCAAGAGCCACAGCTCCCAGTGGTGAGTGTTTGCCCAGTTTTCCAGTTCTAAATTAAAGGAAACTTTCACTTCAGAGACGACCAGGGAGGATGTTTAGGTTCTGCTTCCTGAGCCTAGGCCTGAGGTTTCAGAAGTGACCCCTTGACTTTGGCCTCTAAAAACAGCAGCAACAAGAGCTGAGGCCACCAGTCTCCTGCATTGTACTCCTGGCACTCCCACGCCACCGTTGGCTCAGAAGCCACCAAGTGAGCAAGCTGGCAGTCCCAAAGGGAGGACCTCTGTAGGCCCAGACTCAATGTGGCCATCTGTGCAGGGATCCCCAGGCCTCCTGGAGGCCCATGTCAACCTTTCAAAGGCACAGCCTTGAGTAAGTCCAGGGACTTGGACAGCCTTTCTTATGTGACATTTAGAAGACAAATGCTAGCTTGGAATTAAGTGGCCTGGGGCCCAGACAGCATACATTCTATACATTCAAAAGGACACCCACACTCCCAAGAGCCCCCATTGGATAGGCTTAGCTTACTAAGCCCTTGAGGTGGCAAAGCTTAGAAGGCGTGATCAGAAGGAGCTGGGGCAGGTGGATCAAGACCAGCTGCTGACCCGCAGGAGGGACAGGGCACACAGGACGAGTGCACAGTGGCTAGCCATGGTGAGGGAGGGGGCGTGGAGAGAGGGGCCAACTTTTTGCCACATCCCCCCTTCACCCATCACTGGTCGAACACATGGTTGGCTCTGGGACAGAGGGGTTGAGGGTGGGATTGCCCAATGATGCGGGGGCTCAGGGCACATGTGCCTACCCAAGGACAGATCAACACCAGAGAGAGCATCTGGGGAAGGAGGGGGAAACAGCCCCATGAGCCTGGCTCCAAGAGGGCCTCAACCAGCCGCCCTTGGCACCCGCCTCACACCCGGGAGGTGATGTAGACAGAGTGCACTCGCTCGGCCAGTGTGCTCTGCAGGTCCTGCAGGGGGTCCAGGCCCTGCACTTTGCTGCTGCGGCCGTAGATGAGCTGCCGGAAGGAGTCCTGCTCCAGCAGGGCTTTCATGTGCTTGAGGAAGAAGCCCTCACAGAACAGCGCCAGTTCTGGGGCATTGTGGATCTGCCGGAGAGGGAGAGGTGGCATGAGGCCCACAGCCTTAGCACAGCCCCACCCTGGCCCTGCATCCTGAGGCTGCCACCCCTTATCTGAATTCCTTCTGAAGCATCTTGGAATGGACCCCATCCGGGCTCACATCCCAGCTATGCCACCAGGAACGTTCATTTAGTCTTGTTCTTGGCTCCCATCGTTTTCTTTGTCTCTGTCACACTGTTGACACTTGTGGAACAGCAGTCACCCCAGTGGATTGGAATCTCCCTTCCTAAGGGAAGGTACAGGGACTGTCCACGACCCAGCACAAGGGCCAGCACATGAGTGTTCATGTGGTAGATGGTCGATAACTATTAATTTAGTAAATACCAAGTGCTCGCTGGAGCGGATGTTCTAGTCCAGGAAAGGCAGAATCCAAGGAACCAACCAGACAACGTAAGTGTAGACAGCACTCAAGGCTGTGAAGATAAAAGCTGGTGACGTGGTAGAGACAGAGTGGCTTGTGGAAGGCCAGGGGAGGTCTGGGGACATCAGCTGAAAACAGAGGGCTTGTCTTGGGAAGAGCTGGGAAAGAGCTTTAGAGAATGAGGGGATGGTTGTCACAAGAGTCCCAGGGTAGGGACAAGCTGAGAAAGAACACAGGCTGCGTGGCTGAATGAGGGAAGAGGGGGGACTTGTAAAGCGTGATAAGGGGCTGGGTTGTATCTAGTCTGCAAACAGTGGAAACCTTTGGAAGGTTTAAGTAGCGGAGTGATGTGGTCTTTGCACTTTTGAAAGAACCTTATGGATTGCAGGGCGAAGGCCGAGAGCCAGGCTGATGCAATGCTCTAAGACAGAGATGACGGTGGCTTGGGACAGGTGGGCACAGTGGAGATGGAAGAGAAGAGGTTATTGACATGTTTCAGAGATGGCTTGTTATGTGGCTTACACGTGGGAGATTTTAAAAAATCAAATGACCCCTATGTTTTGAGTCTGAGCAACTGAGCAGACGACTCTGCTATCTGCTGAGATAGAGAACATGTGGGGGACACAGGTGGGGAAGAATACCAAGGAAATACCTGTGAAACTGATTTGACTCAGAGGCTCGGCAACGTGTCCAGGTCCCACAGCCCAGAGCTGCATAGCTGGAATGTGAACCAGGATGCACCAGCCCGAAAGCTTGTCTCCTAAGCTGCTGCGCCACTGCTGGGTGGTGGTGATGCTAGGCAACCAAGGGCATTACTAACCTTCCCTCAGCCCCTACACTGCCCTGCAAAGTGGCCAGCCATGTGCACTTCCTTGCCTGTCCACAGCGTGGGGAGGAGGGGATGCCAAGGCCTGGGTGGAGCAGAGCAGGTGGCAGGAGGTGGCAGCAGGTGTCCACAGCCCTCACCTTGGCATATTTGTAGGTGTTCACGGCACTCTCCACGCTGAGAGTCTGGGAGCACAGGATCTCACAGTGCCTCTGCAGGGCATCCAGCTGGAACAGGCTGGCAGCCGACAGCAGCTGGGAGGGATGCAAAGCAGGCCTTGGGTACTCATGGCCAGGCCTGTGCCCTGCTTCCTCCCAACCCCCAGGGGCCCAGGCCGCCAGCTGGTACAGTCTGAGGGGAAGAAATAATGGCCTTGGTGTATTCTGGCCATCTCAGTACTTGCTGGGACACTTTGGGAGGCACAGGATGGTGACAAACGCTGGCTGGGATTTCTGACCTCAGGAGCTCTTCAGCTATAAGTTACACAATTTGTCTACATGAGCTTTGGAACCAGGCACCCCTGGCCAGCAGCAACCAGGTAAGTGGGAGGCCCAGCCATCTTCTGGTCCTCCTGGGCCTGACCATCTCCACTGGGCATCCCTTTCTGACCCCAGGGCATGGCCCAGGAGGCCGGGCTTGGTGGTGTGTACAACTCCCCGGTCTTTTGAGACCGACTTGCTGTTAGTGGAGAGAAAGGACCCTATAGGGAACCACGCGGTTCTCACAGAGACCTCCCCCATTCTTCACTTTCCTCCTGGCCTCGCCTCTGCAAATGCTATGTTTCTGAGAGTGGGGCTGTGACCTGAAGATGTCTAAGTTGGGGAAACGGGTGCAGCATGAAAGGGGAGACTGGGCAGCTGGGGACCTCCTCTCCCCAGATCCTCACCTCCAGGATGTCAGTGGTGGGGATTTCCATGGATTCTGTCCCTCCATAGTACAGATACTGCATCATCATCTGTGGCGGGAAGAGGCCCCGTGTGAATGCAAAATGGACTCACAGCACAGAAGTCCCCACCCAGCCCCCACAGTGCCGCTCCAGCTCCTCCCTCCTGGGGCCTGGCCGTGCCCCCCTGGCCTGTCCGTCTGCAGGTCCCTAACTCTTACTCTCACTCCACCTTCCCTTGCTCAAGCTGAGGCTCTCAAACACTGTGTTTTCCCTAGACCCCACCTCTAGAAGCCAACTCTGAGACCCTCTCCTGACTCCCTGCCTGTATGACAAGCTCCCTTCCGTGGAGTGGTTTCCTGTTGATCCTCATGACAACCTTGTGAGCCTTGGAGAAAAGATATTCACAGCGGGGGAAACTGAGGCCTAGGGAGGGAAGATGACTAGGCTCAAGCCAGTTGGCTCCTAACTCTCACAGTAGGGCTCTTCCACCGTGCCAGGCACCGTGCTGCTCATTGCTCATTCTACCTAAATTCTACATGAGCCAGGAGTGAGGCTGGGTTTCAGAGGAGACGACTGTCTAACCGGCCAGCCTCAGAAGGCCACCTCCTGACTTCCTCATCTGCACTACGCATCCGATGTGGAGATGAGAGCCACATCCCGACTCTCTTGTGGGTATCTGCTTTCTTGGAAAGAAAGCGCAGAGCCCTGGCCTGGATGTCCCCAGCTTACCTTGCTAACTAGCCCAGACCGACCTGGGGTTCTCCCAAAACCACCCCCATGCAGGTCTGGGAGGAGGAAACTATACTTACTTCTGTTGAGGTCTAAGTTACAAACTCTGCCATCATACTAGAGCCTAGTGAGGATCCCAGCTGGAAAAAGAAAAACAATTCTCCCTGGCTGGCTAAAGAAACAGCCCCTACAAGGAGCTGGCAAATGTGTAAGTAAACATGGCTCTGGCCGGCACAGTGGGTCTCTGTTAGGACTGGCCCTCCAGACGAAGAGGCACCAGAGGGTCTAGGAGAAAGCCCAGCCAGGGGGAGAGGAGAGACAGCCTGCCAGCCAATGCCCACAGAGGACTGGGAAGCTCCCATGGCCTTCTGCAGCCTGTTTGGGATCTCATAATTGCATGGTAAGTGTCCGTCTGTCCTCCAGGTGGTCCACACCTCAGGCAGGCCCACACCTTGGTTCAGGCACTAAGTGGGTTCTGGGTACAGTGCCAGCAGGAACAGCAGTAGACGAGTGGGGCAAAGGCACAGGTGTGGGCCCCCGGAAAGCCCTGTGCCCAGGGCTGAGAGGTGGGTGGCAGCTCAGATCTCCCAGGACTCTTTGCCAGGGGATGGCCTCAAGGCAGCCCCTCATCAAGGGTCTGGGCCAGGGATATAGCTGGCCACAGCCTGCAGCTCCCTTCCCGGCCTGGAAGGTGAGCTTCTGCTGCATTTTGGGCACTAGTTTTGGCAAGGCCCAGTCACCTGTGGTGTGTGGACCTCCCTGAGGTCACTTGAATGCATACAAGACCACGAAAGTCAGATCAGAAGTCCTCTCTTGGGGCCTTGCTAAGGGAACTGAGCAGACGGCAGGCAAAGGTGGACTATTTCTGCACTGCCTGGTAGCTCCCAGCCAGACATGGGTCACCTGCCTCCCAAAGCAGGCAGCCTGCGGGGCTGCTCGAGGAAGGCCCCAGGCAGGACCAGCTGCAGAGGTCAGCAGTGTGTCCTTCTACCCTGAGTGGGCCACCAGGAGCCTGAGACTGCAGGAGGGCAGGGAATACTGCAGGTGCAGGACTGGGGTCAGAGACCATGTGGAGTGGCAGGGTTGGGCCTTCTGGGCTATCCCCCAAAGGCCTGGGCAAGTCTCTAGACCTATTGTCCCATATGAGAGCCACTGGACAGTGTGGATTCTGAGCATTTGAAACATGGCTGCTCTGGATTAAGATGTGCTGTGTCAAATACACATGGGATTGTGAAAAGTTAGTATGAAAAGAATGTAAGATATCTCAGGTATTTTTATATTGCTTACATGTTGAAATGACAATATTGTGGCTACTAGAAAATGTTAAATTACAATATGTGGCTCACATTATCTTTCTATTGGACAGTACTGCTTAGATCTTAAGACTCTGTTTCCTCTTCCAGAAAACAAAGACTATAATGATCCCCTCCCCCCAGTGTGTAAGAGCCACGGAGGTATCTGGGGGCTGCTCAAACTTTCAGGCTCTGTTAGGAAACCCTGACCCTGGGTTGATGGCTTCAGGGTGACCCCACCAAGGGAGCCCGGAAAGCAGGGGGCCATGTCTGAGGCCGCATCTTAAATGACACCCCTCCATAATGGCAGAGCTCTGTGCCCAGAAAATGCAGGGAATCCATGGGGCAAGGCTGGTGCACTGGGCCAGGTCTGAATGATTGGCTAGAGCTCAGTGGGAGACCCAGGGGAAGGGTAGGGGCTAACATTTCCAAGGCCCATGTGCACCATGGACAATAGGCCTGTTGTCCCTGTTTACCCTCCTGACAACCCTGTGAAGTTACCGGGGCCTGCTTAGCCTGTTCTGGCATGGTGCCTTCCCTGAGCCACCTCCCCTGCAGGCCGTGGCCACTGTCCACACATGAGCACTCACCCCCGGCTCTCCACCAATCCCTGTCACCCTCTGGGACCCACCTCCTGCACCTGATCTGGAACCTGTTTGTTCCAACTCACTCCAGCTCACCTGGACTTTGGGCTTCTTAGCCAAACTAGTTTCTAGAGCTGCACCCTCCCCAGTGATTTTGGATCAAGGGAGCAGAAAAGAGGGAACGAGAGACACCACCACTCTGCCCTGGTCTGCTTCCCTCCCTCCCACCGCCACTACCCAGTCCAGGCCACCATCGTCACTTGGCTGGATTCCTCAGTAACTCCTAGCTGGTTCCCTGGTTGTAGCTGGGCCCCCTTCACTCCCTTCGTCACCTTCCTAAATGCAAACTTGACCCTTCCACATGTCCTAGATTTGAATCCTGACTGTATTCCTTCCTAGCTGTGTGACCTTGAGCAAGTTACTCGACTTCTCTGTGCCTCTGACCCCTCATCTATCAAGAGGGGAAAATAATATACCTACACCTCCTAGGACTGTGTCATGAGGCTTAAAGGAGGAACAGGTAAAGCTCTTAGAACCAGGCCTCTCAGTGATGGTGACAATCCCTCTACCTGGGGGTCCTAACTGGCTAGCTGCCCCTTGTCCTTCAAACCTCAGCCTGTGTCATCCTCCAGGATCCCTTGTCTCCCCACATTTGTGTAGATACCCCTTGCCTGTACCCCAGAGCTCTCTGTGCTTTTCCCACAACTGTCACCATATTTCATAGTTCTGTCTCCTTGAGGGCAGGGTCCCTGTCCTGTGTACCACTGTCTCCACCCATGAATGGCTAAATGCTAAATAAATGACAAAAGGGAGCATGAGAGAAGAACTAAAGCATTTTAGATGGTGGCTCCCATGCTTGCATGAGACTGTGGGTTCTGTGATCTCTGCCATTAGATCACAGACCCCTCCTGTGCAGGGCAAGGTCCTGAACCCACCCACCAGCTGCCTCTTGGCCTCAATCCTAGCCCCTGTGGGTCATCCCTGCAGCCACCACTTTCCAGAAAGGAGCACTCAGCTGGGGCTCAGCTGAAAGCCCAGCTGGGCCTCCTCCCTGAGACCTCACCTGCCCTGTAAATATATAGCCTTCTATGTCCTGCAAAGTTGAGAGCCCAGAAGACCTGACCTTGATCTTCTGTGACCAGGATGGGCTCTTCGTGGCTTTTTCTGCTTGGCTAATGTGGCTGGGGTCTGATGCTTAGGGAGAGAGAAGCAGTCTACAGCAGCACTTCGCAAACTGTACTGGACCCACAAACCCCTGGGGAGCATGTGGAGATGCAGGTGCTAAGGCAGAAGGCCTGGGCTGGAGCCTGGGGCTCTACATTTCCAGCAAGCTTTCAAGAATGCCCGTGTGTCTGCAGGCTTCCCAGACCACTCGTCTGGTGGCGGGAGCTCAGGACCCATGAGATGGGCTCTGGAGCTACAACCCCATAACGGTATGGCTACCTCTGCACAGGAAAGATCTGGACACTCTAACCTGACCATTGATTCAGCAAAACACAGAGGGCCTTGGGACAGAATGGAATATTATGACTGACTCACAGCTGCCCCACCACCTCCTCAAGCCCAGATGGCCAAAGCTAAGGGCGGGTTCCTGGAGGAGGGTATCCCCCCAGCAGAGTGCGGCACCGAGACCCACACACCTGAAAAATGTGGTACTTCATGTCACTGATCTCGATGGTTTTGCTGCTGTCTCCATTTTGCTCTGATTTATTGGTCATCAGTGTCTTGAACCTGGAGCAAAGGAGACAGAAAAAGGCAGGTCTTGAGTGTGACTTTTTCTCTATCCCTGTGTGGCGACAGCACCATCTGTCACCTGACTGGCTACCAGGAAATGGAACGTTTTAAAAAATCACTGCCATGCTCCCAAAATAATTCTCAGCATGTGACATTTTACATGGTTGTAGGCTGACAGCTGACCCGAGCCCCGTTCTGTCTCCGCTACCCCCCATACAAGTGATCTGATGCCTGTGGCCAGAACACTAATTCTTCATTTCAGAATATTTGTTATCTAATAATCAAAAACAGTAACTTGACCAGAAAGAATACCACCTTAGAGCTCCCCTGGAGAACTTGGGGCCCCATTCCTACTGTCCCCTCTGTCCAGCCTGCTTCATGCTGCTGTGGGGCAGGTGGAGGCTCCACTGCGATGGGACAGAGGCTGCAGACACAGCCCCCGCTGGTCACTCTTCTCCAGCACATCTGTCACCTCGAATCAGAAACAAGCTGCTCCCACATCCCTGGGGCTGGGACTTTGCTACCCGAGGTTGCCTACCTGTTGGAAGCTGTCACCAGCAGGACTTTATGTGCATAAAACAGCTTTCCTTCCACCAGGAAGGTCACATCTGACATCTCCTTGTTGTTCAAGAAGTGAGGGTCTGTGAGAAAGGGGGAACATACAGAGAAATTGCCGAGGACTCAACCTCTGGGGGTTTCTTACACATGCCGAGAGGTGTGTGTCAGGGGGAGGGGTGAGACACAATGGTGAGGAACAGAGAAACTGAGGCCAGGGTCATGGCACTTGGAAATGGAAAAGGAGGGCACAGTGAGAAGGAGAAGGAGAGGGGGAAGGGGAGGGCTGTGGCAATGGGTGTACGGGGACAGGCCTGCACCTAGCCTGGCCGGCAGGGTCTTCCGGATCTCTGGGATGCTGGGGATGGGGCTGCTGCCGTAGCAGTGGGTGAAGATGGTGGCCAGCTGCTGGATGACGGAGTCGTTCTGCAGGGGAGAGTAAGAGAGAGGCTGTCAGCTCGCCCGCTGCGGCCGTCTGTTTACAGCTGCAGATATGCCCGGCGAATTTCAAAAGTCCAGGCCAGGATGAGAGCGGCCACTGTCTTTTGTTCCTGCTGGATCTGGCTTGGCAAGAGCTGCCTGTTTCTTCATCACTGATTCCCCAAATGGCTTTTTTGGCCAGGCTCCAGCCCAGACAAATCCGTGGCCTCTGCCCTCTGCAGCCAGGCAGTGCAGGTCTGAGTGTTGGGGGTGGGGGGGTGCCTGGGCCTGTCCATGCGCCTGCCTGCCTGTGTGTCCATCTATGTATCTGTCCCATGGTCTGGATTGGAGCTGTGGGCTCTGGGACCAGGGTTCTCTGAGTGTGGGGTGGGGGCTGCTGGGCCACACTCACTTTGCTGGTCTTGAGGATGTCGAACATGAGCTGCAAGCCCTCGGTCACCAGCTCCTCATTGTACTCCTCCTCCTTGATGGAGCTGAAATCCCGCAGGAGGCCCTGCACCACCGAGTACCGTGACTGGAAGAAGGAGGTCCTCAGAGACTCGATCCAGATGTGTAGCTTCCAGGGGACGCCTGGGTCCAGGCAGGGACAGGCAGGCAGTCATTCCCTGGGGCAAAGTGCTCCCTGTACAACCACACCCTTTTCTGGGCAGGCTCTCCCAATGCGATGCGCTGGATGTCTGCAGAGCCCCCTCCCCACCCCACCTGAACGCCTGCCCCAGGATGTGTGCAGATGACCCTCCCAGCACAGCCAGTAATAAAAGCTTCCATTCACTCTAATGGGCCTCACTGGTAGGTCAGAGGGGAGTTTCAGGCTCTCATCAGATGAGGCGGAGGCACGGCCTCAGCCCAAGCCCACGGAACCAAGCTCTGAACATTGTCAGCCCAGCCTGGGGATTTTCAAGTGTGGTCCCAGCACCCACAGTCACTCCATTGCTTGTTGGGCCCTAGAATTATTTGCTGGGGGACACGCATAAATTCTGGAGGGGTGGCCTCAGAAGGTAGACTTGGAAGCCCAGAAAATATGCAGGGCCGTTAGGAACATGCAGGCCCCTATGCCCATAAAGAAGCCAGAAATGACCCCAGTCCCATCACAGGGGTTTCTAACACCGAGATCACTGGGTGTCAGTGCACATCCAGGCAAACATAATTACTGTTTACCAGTTCTCCAGAGTGTATCACTAGGGCCATAGAGTAATTGGAAACTTCTGTGTGAAGGTCGTGACCAAAACAAGTCATATTCCTGGTAATTAGAGATAGTTTCTTACCCCCCAGCCTTACTGTGGGTTAAGAAAAGAACTGATAGCATTCCCCAGGGACATGATGACGCAGGTGGTAACAGCATCCTCAGTTTACTGATGGTAGGTGGGAGTGATATCCCCACTTTATAGTGAACAACACTGAGGCTGACTTACTGTTCTCCTGGCCCAGCCCTGGGGGGTTTGCATGTTGTGGCCCTGTGATAATAACGACATTGCTATCAAGTGCCGAGTGCTCACAGCAGGTGCTGTGTCTTGTGCTTTTGGTAACGTCATCCCATTCTTAGATGAGGATCGTCAGCATCAAACCCATGGAGAGAGGAGGGAATTGAGACTCAGGGAGATACGGGGCATGCAGCTAACACAGGATCTAACCTGCGTCTGTCTGTCTGTCTGACTAGCCTCCCTGGAGGACACAAAAAGTCCACAGCCTCACAGACCCAGGGAGTGAGAGAGGTTGGCTGAATGATAAGACATGCTGGCTCATGGCGAACACATCCCTGGGCTATGACCAGGGGAGGGGTACTGACCAGGGAGGATAGGAGTCTGAGGGCAGAGGGCTGGGGCCATGACCTCGAGACATGTCACTGCTGAGGACTGTCTGAGGTCCAGGGCATATTCTGTTTTGGCCATACAGCAGGCATGTCCTAGCTACCACCCTGTGCTAAGCTTCCCTGTGATCTGTCTGCCCCTGCAGGCCCTGGCCCTCTCTGGCCTGCCAAAGAGCAGCAGAGAGTGACCGTGTGTGCGCGTGTGCATGCATGTGCATGTGTGTTTCCGTGTGTGCACGTTTGTGTGTGTGTGTGTGTGCATGTGTTTGCCCGCCCATGTGGCCTCACCCAGCGCCCTCAGCTCCATGGTGATGTCCACGTAGCCGTGCTCGGCGCTGTAGTACATGGCCTCCTGCAGGGCCTTCGTGCGGGTCCGGCTCAGCCGCACAGGCCCCTCGCCACCGCTGCCCTGACTTGACGCATCGCTTTCCTCCACGCCCTCGGCCAGGATTTCCTCCAGGGACAGCACGTCTGCTTTGGCCTGCTGCGGCTGCGTCAGGAGCTTTCTTAGGACGTTTCTGTAGGCCAAGGGACAAAGGAGGGTGAGACCTGAGGTCCCCATGATGGACAGTACCTGCCGAGCTGCCTTCTAGTGGTGCCCCATGGCCTAGAAGGATTACTATGAGGCATCTGAGGGTTCAAAGGGCTCACTGTCTTCCCCTCCCAGGCAGGTCAGGCCAAGACTCCCAACAACCCTCATCCCCAGATGCCTGGGAGAGACAGGGGAAGAAGCAGGGTACCCCATCCTTCTGCCATCCTGGTATTGCCGAGATAGGCTTTGGGGCCAAGCAGGCTCTGCCATTCTGGCTGTGTGATCTCAGATAGGTTGCTCTACCTCTCTGAGCCCTGACTGCTTTGTCACCTGTAGAGCTGCATGTCAGCATCACCCTCTGGTGGGGTTCATGTGAGGCTGATGTGAAGGCATTAAATGCATTAAACCAACACATGGCAGTTCCTCCTAAACAGCAGCTGACCATGCATGGAAATGTGTGTGAAGCACAGGAGAACGTGTCTGTTCCCTCCCATTAAGAAGGATGGAGTGAGTGTCATGTGGAGTATTATGCAGAGCTCATTCACATACACAAACGAATACACAGAATGTTAGACTCGACAAAGTGTGTTCCCACGAATGGCTGCATTTAGCCCTGTGAGATCTCCCTAGCACTGCTGTTTAAAGGAGATGGACACATCTTGTGAGGCCACACTGGATGAGGTTCAGACTCAGACCCAGGCTTCAGCTTCAAGCCCCAGACTGGTTCTGTCTCATCCTGTGGCTTGGGGCTCTGGGGTAGATGCAGCTTGGGTGGATCCAGAGGTCACCCTGGAGGCCGAGCCTCCTCCACAGCAGCCCTGCTGTGCCCCTCCACCCCTCTCCAACTCATGGCCCAGAGGCTTCCTCAAGGACCCAGGGTCCTCCCTGAGGTCAGGTGGCTGAAGTAGCTTCTCCTTGTTTGCTGGTTTTCTAGCTCAGGGTGTTTATGGAGCACCTAGTTTGTGCCAGGAACTGGTACGTGGAGGTTTAGCATCACGGTGCCTGCCCCAAGCAGGGAGATGAGGCCACAATGTGGGCCAACACTGGCATGAGCGGGGCTGACGGGCCCGGGGGGCGTGATATCTAAGATGGTACTGAAAGGGGAGGTGAGTCTAGAGGGGTGAACATGAGGTGCGGGGCTCAAAAAAGGTGCAGAGAAAATGCATTCTAGGGGAGGGGACAGCAAGAGTGCATGTCTGGTGTCTGGAACTGGAAGTCGCTGTTCCACCTACCTGCCCTTCTTTTCTGGCCCCTCTCTGCTCTCTAATAACCTCTCCTCTTGTCTCCCTGCCCCGTGCTGCCTAATGGCTCTGGCCTCAGCCTACTACTGCCCCACAAAGCAAGGTCCACTCTCTGCTCCTGGAGCAGGATGTGGTTTCCCGCAGAGGTGCCAGGAGCCTCTTCACAGTTGAGCCAGACGCTGTGTGGAAGCCCCTGGAGCACACCAAGGCCATGGAGAACCACCACCAAGCATGGGAAGGGATGTGGTCCTGGCAGAGTCCTACTGGAAATGGGATGGCCCACCTGGACACTGGGGGCCCAGGCTGCAATTCCAGGTTGGCCAGGTGACCCACTGCCCAGCATCTCTGGGCCTCCAATGTCTCGGGCCCCTGAGCAGGCCAAGGACTCACCCGCACATTTGTGGCTGACAGGCTCCCAGGCCCCGACTCTGGAGAGGTCTCCAGGACTAGCCCCTCTGCTGCCCACTGGGGAAGTGCAGGCTCCGAAGAGCTTATCCCAGTGCCCTGCCTCACGCAGGGCAGGAATCCCAGGGCAGGTACCTGTGGCCGTGGGCGGCTGAGTGGCTGAAGCAGTTCATGTCCTCATGCAGCGGGGAGGCCATGCCGTTGGCCTCGAGCATGCTGAGGAGGGGGTCAGCGCCACGGCTCAGCAGCAAGCTGACCAGCTCATAGTTCCCTGAAAGGCGAGAGGTGACGCCAAGGACACTGAGATGGCGGCTGACCAGGGATGCCGAAGCAAAGGGGACGGAAGAGGGACTCTCCAAACTCAGGGTGTCGCCGTGAATAAGTAAACTCCACACTCACTGGTGTGCAGTGGGGGTGAAGCGGAGGTGAGAGGGAGATGGGGGACAGGAGGCTGGCTGTGCCCAGTGGTGTGGTGTGGCTCCCTCCCTGGGCCCCCTGCCCTGCCAGGTTCTGCTTGGGTGCCGAGCTCAGCAGAAACATGGGTGGATGGGGCCGGGGAAGCCCCCAGTGCCCTGCAAGAGGGGTTTCAAGGCTCCCCACGGAATGAATGCCCATCCTGGGCAACACTGCAGGGAGGGGTGGACAGTGCCTGCCAGCCATGGGAGACCCTGCCAGCGGGGCAGTGGTGTACCTACCAGCCGCAGACGCTAGCTGCAGGGGTGTCTCCACGTAGCTGTCCTCACCGCTGTTCACTGCCGAGCCCTCCACGTGGGCACCAGCGTCTAGCAGCAGCTGCCAGGGGCACACGGGAGGAGGGCAACCTTAGCATGGCAGGGGGCGCCTAGGAGGTGCCAGCAGGAGGCTTTGGGGGACAGGGCTTTGGTTCTCTCCAGGCATGTGACCAAGACGTGGCTCACCCTGGCAGCTGAGGAACTGGAACTTTAGAACTCCAGGTTACCCTCAGGGCTCAGAGTTTCTAGAAATCTTCAACTCCACTCTTGTGGCCCTGGACCAAGCCCCTAAGCTGTGAGGACCTGTGAGCTACTCTCTCTTCTAAACTTTCTCACAAATTGGCTGCAGCAGCCTTCTTAAGGACTCATGCACGTGAACAGGAGGAAAATGTCATCCTCAATCTCTAGGGGGAAACTGAGGCTCTGGGTGGCAGCAGGTGTTAGAGTCAGAAAGAGTAGGGTGCCAACACTGGCCACTGATCAGCGAGTGACCTGGGTCAGGTACTTCCACTCTCCAGGACTCAGTCTTCCTCATCTAAAATGGGGAGAGAGGCTTGCCGTGCAGCACTGCTGGGGACTAAATAAAATGCTTAACACACTGTAGGAGCTCAATAACCAGGGGCTTTTAGGCTTCTCATCAAGGAGGTTCAGCAGTAGCCCAGGATGGCAAGTGGTGGGGCTGGGGCACGGCGTGGTCCAGGATGGCAGATGGCCTCTCCCCACTCTAGCAAGGGCAGGCCTTGCCAGGGGACAGATGGGGCAGGGTTAACAGATACCACGGAGTTCCAGCTGAGCCGGACCTGGCTTTGACTTGGGGCAGGGGAGGTGCCTGCGTTACTCCAATGGCGACTTTCGGCTCCTGCCTCACCTTTTCTGACCTGCTGTTCTGGAGGGTGCCAAACCCTCTGCAGAGCATGTGCTGGGCAGCAGAGGGAAACCCCACCCACCCCTCAGCTGGACAGCAGGGTGAGGAGTCTGGGAACCAGCCATTCGCTGGAGGCTTGTCAGTCACAAACCAGTCATGGCCCCACTGCCTGTGCCAGCTCCAAGGCGGAGGCCTGCCCGTCGGGGTGAAACTGGGCACAAGTCCAGGCAAGCCCAGGCTGTGGCACTGCAGACACAGTTTGGGCTGAGGTCGGAATTGCTGGAGTCCTTAGGAGGACAGTAATGGAAAAGCAGGCAGGGTGTGGCAGCCAGCCGGAGAACAAACATTTACTGAGTCCCCCATAGCAGTGCTGACACGATGAATCAGTCGGACACAATCCCTGTCCTCAGAGGACTTGAAATAGAGAGTGTGATAAGAAATTCCAGGAAGGGGTGCTGCACAATCCTGTGGACCCTGGTGTCCCTGCTGGCATGGGAAGCTGCTCTGCCCACAGCTTCCACTTCTAGATCCACCCCTGCCCCTCACACTGGCCACGGCTGCCTGGCCGGGTGGGCACAATGTGGCTTGGCTCTACAGGTGAGCTGTGCCAATTTGAATCTGCTCTCAGGGACTAAGCCTGTTCACGGGATGGGGCAGGACTGGAAGGACGCCATACCACAGAATTCATGAGGGAGAAGAAACAGCAAAGGTCAGGCAGATGGCTGGAGGTGAGGACCTGGGCAGACGCGTGCAGCACACCTGCGAGTGTCTGAGAGAGAGACATGCTGGGAAGGCCCGATGGGACCTCTGTACTGCTTGGACCTGGGTCTTGTCTCCTGAAATGCCACACATATCCACACACTAACCCCTTTCCTTGAGGCAAATCTGATGTGTCTCTGCCCTGTTGCTCTGGTGAGCCCGGCCTTGTGCAGTGCCTCTGGCATCTCTGACTTGAGGTAGCTGCTCATTGACGCGAAGCTGGGGACACGCTGTGCACCCGGCAGGAGCTCACCTGGACCACAGAGATGTGTCCGTGCAGCACAGCAAACGTCAGCGAGGTCCAGTGCCGACTGTCAGGGTGGATGGAGGGGTGCCTGGGAGAATTGCTTGGAACCTGGAAAACACCCCAAATGACAGTGTTTCCCAGGCAAGTGACATTCCTGGGCAGGTGATACAAGCACCTCAGCTCAGAGGGTACCCTACAGGGAGGGTGAACAGGAGTCAGCTCAAGTGCATTCTACATTTGACTGGTAATGTCTGCCTGAAGCCCTGTGTGGACAAGGCTCAAAAGGACATTCAATCAGTGGTGTCTACCCTGGGTAAAAGTCGGCAGAGGGGGAGCACTTTATGCCTCAGAGGGAGGCAGAGCTAGAAGTGTTTAGGGATGGTAGGGATGGCTGAGGATTAGGTTGGTAAAAGGGGAAAGATGCTATAGAATCAGAATTGTGGCCATTCTCTCCCCTCAAATCTCCACTCAACTGCTTCCTTAGCTCACTCCCTCTCGGACAGAAAACCTAAATCTTGAGGATAATCCTTTCCGGTGATCTCTGTGCATCTGCTGTTTCTAGGCCTCTGATAAACATCTACCCGTGTCCCAAACGTTGTGCCCAGTACGGCTGACAGAGACCTTGGGGTGGTCTCCTGCTGGGTTAGGGCCCGGGTGCAGCTCTCTGGGGCTTACTCACCTGGAGGTCCAAGTTTGCCCCAGCATCAATCAGCATCTGGACCATCGCTTCGTCCCCAGCAGCACAGGCGTACATCAGTGGCGTCATACCCTGTGTGAGTCAAGGGCAGATGCTTAAGTGTCTGCAAAGAGAACACAACACCGCACATCTCGCAGGCCTCTGCCCTCAAAACCACAGATCTGGGCCTCCTGCTAGACCCAGCCACTCATCCTGAGCTTTCCTGAGCCTTGTGCTTCCTAGGCCCCCTGGACATGTGACACTGGAAGGGTGTGTAGGAGCATTAGCACAAGTGCTGCAGGACACCCCAGGGCTGAAGCACGGGCCCTGCAGCAGACTTGGGTGCAACGGCCACCTCTGCCACAGGGAGCTGTTGCCTTCATACAAGTTAACTTTCCTGCTCTGTGCCTCGGTTTCTTCATCTTTAAACCGGGAACTACAGTCTCTATCTCACAGGGATGTTGTAAAGAGTGTGGGTTACTATGAGAGTACTTCAAAAAGTTTATGAAAAGATTCGTGTTGTCTTTCAATTCTCTTTTTCCACGAACTTTTTGAAGCAGCCTTGTATGCATGAAGTGCTTAGTACAGAATAAGCTTACCGTGATTAAGATCTAACTAATTGCAATCACAACAGTACTATCACTGCTACTATGTCACACTGCCTTGTACCAACCCATCCCAGGTCCTGTGCATGGACACCACTGTGTTAAGCGATTTGCATGCAGTATCTCATTTAATCCCATAATATTTCTATCAGGGAGGTTCTGTTATTATGCCCGTCTTGCCGATGAGGCGCAGAGGAGGGAAACTAACTGCCCATGGTCACACAACTAGCAAGAGGTAGACCTCAGATTGGAACCCAGGTCTAGTGAGCTGTGAAGCTCATGCTTTGAGGAGTCTCATGAGAGGGTCAAGAAGTGTTTGATTTAACATCTCGTGCTCCTAGCAGTTCGGAGCTTTTCTGAAAGCGGAGTCCCCATTCCTCCCTAAGTTTAGATGGGCTGTTAACGGGGCTGCCTCCATGTCTGGGATTCTTCCTCTGTGGCCAACAACAGTGAAGGCAGCGGTGGAAAGTGTCTCTTCCATAGCCGGGTCTCTGCAAGCATTTGTCTGGCGCCTCCCGATGTTATTTATTAGGTTATTTGTGTGTAGACAAGATCTCCTCACCTCATAAATCCTTGCCTAGTGCCCAGAGATAAAGAAATGGCCTGAGATTAATCATGGGGTGAGGACTGTTTATCCACAGATCATTCTATAAATACCAGGGTTTAGGCAACAAACAGGACAGAGCATTTAGAGAAAAGCCAACTGCAACAGAATGGAAATCTGGCTTTGTTTCATCGCCCTGTGCACGTACTTGACTTTCTTCTCCACACATCTGTATGTAATTGGGGGTTTCAACCAGGCTATGAGCCCTGTGAGGAGAAAACTACTCCAGGCATATAAAGAGGCTAAATAAAAAGAGGCTGATTAACAGATTCCAGGGATCATTGTCATCATTGACAACAATATGACAACAAGAATCATCACATTGATAACAAAACCAGAACGAGCATTTATCGAGCATTTACTAAATGTGCTAGCTGCAGAGTTCTCACAGTAACCCTACGTGGCAGGCTCCCCATCTCCGAGGTGAGGGAACTGAGGCTTCTCAGGAGGTGCAGTAACTTGTCCAAGATGCCACGGCAGCTGTGATGTGGCAGACTAAATCCTAGCTCTGTCTCAGCCTAAGGTCGGTGGCTTCAATGCTGCATTGCTGAGGAGGAAGACAACTCCACCAGGGCGAAATCTCCTGCAAAGCCCTGGAAGCTGCGTCCATGGAGAGGCCTGTGGGAGGTCCCACCCCCAGCCTGTCACACGCTGTCCTGTGGTCTCCCCGGACCCCTCGTCTCAGCATATGTCCCCACAGCTCCACCGCCAGGCCTGGAAGGCTGTCCTGACTCCTCCGCTCAATCTCAACCCTGCCCCCCACTCAGGCTCAGTCAAGCCCCTCCAGCTGGAAGCCTTCCCTGGCTGCTCCTGCCCCACCTTCCAGGGTCCACCCTGGCCTCATGGTCCCCTCGACACTTCATCACACTCCATGTCACGCTGTCATCTCCTCTAAGAGCACCGCTTCACCCCACCACTGTCATTTAACTTTCCCCACGCTTCTGTGTGGTCTTCCAAGCCACGCGTGCCATTACATACATAGCAAGTGCTCACAGAACAGTGTCAAATAACCAAAAGGGGTATTCCATAGTGGTTAAGAGCCTCGAGTCAGATTGCTTGGATTCTTCTAATCTCAGCTCTGTTCCTTTCTAGTTGTATGACCTTAGGTAAAGCAGCTTGCCTATACCTCAGTTTCCTCATCTATAAAATGGGGGCTGACTGGTTGGCTCAGCTGGTTAGAACACTACCTTGTAACACCAAGGTCAAGGGTTTGGTTCCCCATACTGGCCAGCTGCCAAAAACAAAAACGAACAATAAACCTCATGTATAAAATGGGGAAAATAATAGTACTGCATCACAGGGCTGCTGTCAAGATCAAGTGAGTTCATCCATGGGAAGCACTGGGAATAATGCCTGCAGCACAGTAAACACTATGGAAATGTTAGCTGTTCACAGGAAAAATAAAACAAACACAAAAACTCAAGTTAAAGTCTATCTGAACTTGTAAATCACCTCTGACATCTCCTAGGCTTTTTCCTGCTTCATTTTACTCCTTAGTTCACTAACACATTCTATTTTCCACGTGCTTCTGTTTCTTATTATCTGTCTCCTCCACTGGAATGTTAACTCCACGAAGGCAAGGGCTCCTACGGGCCTGGCACATTGTCGGGCACAATACGCTCTAATACACACATTCGTGATTATTATCCACAGCTTGATGCCAAGCTGACACCTCTGGACTCTTTCCCAGCCTTCCAGCCATGGAAGCAGAATCCACATTAGAAAGGTTTTCCAAGGGTACTAGAAGTCTCCACGCTGACATGCACTTGAACAGGCAGGGCACGATTCAGGAGGCAGTCTACCTCTCTCAGAAGCACACAGCTGAGCAAGTCTCAGGGTTAGGGCAGAAGGGATGGTGCCACCAACTCTAGCAAATGGGAATTCCCGACTCTTGTCCCTGAGCCAGCCTAGTGGAGCTCTGAGAACATACCTGGTCGTCCATGGTGTTTACCCCATCCGGCCCCAGGGCCTCGATGGCCTGGTTGATGAGATCTGTCCTCCCACAGTTGAGCATGCGGAAACCCAGATCCTGGTTGAACTTTTCGGTAGCTGCCCGGGCATCCAGCCTCCGGAAGGAACTGAAACAGCATTCAGGCCTGCCCAGGAGAGACCCAGAGGTATGAGACTGTGTGTGGACTCTTTCTGCTAGGACACTACCTGTCAATCACATGTGACACAGCTGGGCCAGGCTGTCGTGTGGAGTGAGGATGGGTGAGAGAAGGACTGGGATGATGGTCATTTCTGCAGTGATTGGCCTCACATGTTCTGTGACACGAAGAGAACATACTTCTGCTTTTGTATAAACATGTTTAAGAAGTGCTCTGAGCTCTACGTGTGGAGTGAGGATGGGTGAGAGAAGGACTGGGATGATGGTCATTTCTGCAGTGATTGGCCTCACATGTTCTATGACACGAAGAGAACATACTTCTGCTTTTGTATAAACATGTTTAAGAAGTGCTCTGAGCTCTTGAGAGCGGTCAACTGTCAAGAAACAAACTAAAATAACCCATCCAGAGACTGCCCTGAGGAGGAAGCAGCTGGATCCTGCTCGTGCCACAGCGCTTGGCTGTATACTTTTTACATGGAGCAGGCTGTGCCTCAGCGTATAAAATGGCCTTTGTGGCCAAGTTCCAGGTTTTGCCTCTACATCTCTCTCCTTAGGGCTTCCTGGTGAGGCCCAGAAGGACCAGAGATGGCAGAGAGTAACTGGCTTAGAGTCCTGTCTGCCATCAACCCAACCTTCCAAGGACAGTCAGAGCTAAACTCTGAGTCTATAGAGGGCACACCACAGATGTCCCATAGGCAGTGTTAGTCTGGAACCATGGTTGCACCAACATGAGAAAGTTCACATCCTAGAATGAGGTCTGGGCATTCACCATGGAGACAGAGGAGACCATAAGTAGGTTTTAGGCAGAGAGTCAAAAAAAGATGCATGGCTCTCATAGACTAAGGATGGCCAGAAGGAACCTTCTCCAGAGAACTCCTTCAGGAGACTAGTCCAATACAAGACAGGTACTTAGGGAAGGAAGTTAAGAGCACAGGCTTGGGGGCCATATGAACCTGGGTTCAAATGTGGGCAGGGTCACTCTGCCGGCTGAGTATCTGTGGGCAAGCCACTATCCCTTCCTGATCCTTAGTTTCTTCATCTGTAAGATGGGCCTGGTAGCCCCTTCTTCTCCAAAGTTGTCATGAGGACTAAGTTAACGCACATAAAAAGAAAGGGCTCAGCACAGGACCTGCACCCAGGAAGTGCTCAAGAAAATGGGGGCAGTTATAGGAACAGAGGAAAGAGAAGGCCCACTTCCGCTCCCTCCCCCAAATATCCCAAGGAGTCAGACTGTGTGAGCCCTCCTGCCCAAATCCAAATGTGCGTCTGCCTCTGTGTTTCAGACAAGTGGTTGCAGAAGATGCACCTACAGAGCTGCAGCGTCAGTGCAGAACAGATCTGTTCCAGTCCTCAGGCTCGGCATGTGCGGGCCTTAGAGCAGCTGGAGGGCACTGCAGCCCCTGCTCTCTGACCCCTCCCAGCCACCAGGAGAAGGGAGCACTGGGGAGTCACCGGGGGCTGGACATGGGCCCTCCTTGCCCCCCAGTTCCATACTTGAGCTGCCGGGGCTCGCAGTCCAGGCCAGGCAGCAGCAGCCGGGCTGCCTGCCGTATGTCGCCACTGTCCACGGTAAGGCTACGGCGGTGCTCCGCGTAGGTGATGGCCACGCGCATCCACTCCATCAGGGGCGGCAGCAGCATGAAGGGCCTGCAAGGCAGCAGAGAGAGGGTCAGGCTCAGGTGGGGTGCTCCCTGAGGAGCAGAAGGGGACCCCCCTTTAGCACACACACTCTCGGAGGATGGCCACTGAGGCTACTCGCTTTGTGGAGGAGGCTTGATCCTTCTGTTCACAGAGACCCTCATGGCCCCCCATCCCACAGAATCCTAGTCATAATTCAGAAGGAATTCTTGTCATAGGCCATCAGTAGGACCTGAGGGCCCTTAGGTGGTTATGAAAGAAGGGGTTCACCAGTGTGTGGAATTGGGGACTCTTGCCCCCTCCAAAGAATTCCGACTGGGTCTCTGGCTCCCCCTTTCTGCAGAAGGCAGAGACTGCCTGCTGGGTAGTGGGGTGCACAGCCGAGTCTGACAGACCCAGCTCCACACCCAGCTCGCCACGGCAGCTGTGCTGTCTCCTCTTTACCACAGACGAACACAACCCTGAGCTTGTTTTCTTCATCTGTGACACGGGTAGCACCTACTCTCAAGAGTGTTGTCGAGCTAAATGAGATGACACATTTCATGCTATGGAGTGTTGTTGATGGTCATTCCTTCCTCAGCAGGAACCTGGCTGAAGGGACCCTATGTCGCTTCCTGGGCCAGGCCATGGATGCCTCCAGCTTGGCGCTCAGAGAGGAGTGGCAGCCCTGAATCCTATGGGTAGGAATGGTCCCAGGGGACTTGTGTGACATGGAGAACCCACATGGAAGCAGGGAGAGGCCGTCCAGGAAGGTCTCAGAGTTGTCACCTCTGGGGGTGGCTTTCACAAGCCACTCTGTGTCACAGGGGGTGCCGCTCCCACGGGAGATGCTGAGTGCCCCCAGGCATTACACGGCCACTCAGGCCTGCCCTGTGCCCCAGCCAGGCCTTTCTACTTCCACCCGGCTCTTGGCTTCAGCCAGGGAGGGGGGGTCCACTCACTATTGAGGGAAGGATTCCTCTTGTCCTCTGCCAGTTCTGGCAAGTGTCCCATGGCGAGGGCCCCCTCAGGAGACCACTTCACAGCCCACCAGATCTCATAGCACCCTCTCCCCACCACACTAACCCCGACCAGCCAGTCTTTGGTTTCATGACTCAATGGATACCCAGCCTGCTCTGCCCAGAATGGATGGAGCTCATCCCACCCCACGGGTCAGGGTGGAAGGCAGCCCTGGAACCCCGCCCGTCGCGGCCGTTCTCTCTGATGGCTGCCCAAGAGCTGGCCTCGCAGCTCCCCATGTTCCCAGCCCTTCCTGATGCCTGCCACCCTAAGTCCTTCTTTTTATACTAAGCCAGGGAGTGGGCACCAGGCCAGCAGCAGGCAGCCGGCAGCAGTAGTTGGGGGTGAAATCAACAGCAAATACTTCTTAATTCTGGCTTCAACCCTAATTGCAGCTCCAAGGGTGTGTGTTCAAATTCACGGCTCCAGGGCTGTCTCAGAGGGAGCAGCTCCCCGCTGGACAAGGTCTGCACTGGCCTTGGACTCACTCCTGGAGGCTCCACCTAGAACCTGCTCCTTGAACCCTCCCAATGATTCTGTTAGTGCCTAATTCCCTGCATTAAATTGTTTCTGCTTAAAATACCTAGAACATTTTCTGTTTCCTGAATTGAAGACCGATTAATATTCTCAACACACAGAAGTCTAGATTATCCTCCTGCCTCTGGCATGGTGGCTGGTCCCCATCTGTCTACAAACAAGGCTGTGCCAGCCCCAAACTGACCTCTTCAGGCCTTTCTCCCTGGTCTACCCACCTCTCTGGCCTGTGGTTCATGGGAAGGTAAAATGATCAGCAATTCCTGGACTTTCTCAGTAACCTCCCTCCCATGGGCTATGGGTTCCAGGCTACGGTTTTCTTTCTGGTAATTTCACCAAGCCCACTGGGCATGCTGAGAAGAGCTGGCTTGCATTACCGTACATTCTGGAAAGTCCCTATAGAAACTCCCATCTGCAGGGGCCGTGGCTGTGTTGCAACTCAAGGAAGAAAGGGCCTGGGGGAACAAGGCTGAGAACAACTGATGGACGAGTTGTCCTCGAGGTCTCTCTGCTTTATCCCCTTCCAAAGAAGAAGGCAGCTTCCGCTTCTTGCTTCTCCCTGAGAGTGAGCTTGGCCGCAAGCCTTTCCATGCCAGAGTGAAGATGTCTGCGGTGCCAGAACCAGGAGACTGGGTCAGTATTGAAGACGCCCCCTTTGCTCAGCCCTCCTGCCCTTGGCTGTTCCCCTGGGCTGGGTCTCCTAACCTCGGAATAGCCATTCTCATTTTTATACTCTTAAGAATAATTGAAGACCTCAAAGAGCCTTTGTTTATGTGTGTTGTTCTATTGATATTAACTGCATCAGAAATAAAAATGGTGAACATGTTAAAACACATGAATACACAGGCTCACATCCTGTTAGCATCAGAGTAATGACATCATCAAGTCACGCAGCCTCTGGAAAACTCCCCTGACACTTGGGAGATAATGAGAGAGAAAAGGCAAATAAGATCTCATTATGAAAATTGCTTTGACCCTGTGGATTCCTGGAAAGAGTCTCTGGCACCCCAGGGGTCCCTGGAGCACGTTTGGAGGACTGCTGCCTTTGAAGTCCACAGCAGATCCCTAAGACAACACTGCTCAGGAGATGGCAGGTGGCAGTGTGGGGCTGGGATTCTGCCCCTGGGTGACGCCTGGGCCAGTGAATGCTAGAGTGACACACAGTTTGCAGAGACACTCCTGGCCCAGGAATCTAAGGATCCTAGATCCCTTCCCTGTGGCATCCTCACTGGGAGAAAGTTCTAATTTCTTTGATACACCTGAACTGGCTCTATAACCTTGGGCAAATCATTACCCTCTTTGGGTCTGTTTTTCTATTAAAGGGGTTGCTTAAGTTAGTGGTTTGTAGACTTTTTTCATTGTGAGAAACCCTTGTTTTTACATCAGACTCCACACGAAAGCAGCTATACCTACTGCACACCCCTTGAGTACCTGGAGACTGCCTGGGCTGGAATGCAGTGTACGGCCCATGAATTAAATTGTGTGGTTCTGTGTAACGTATCCCACCTCTCCTGGCCTCAGCTGCTCCATCAGCAAAATGGTATAAATAATAAGATCACCGCACAAGACCACGGGAAACCTGTACGTAACATGCTTAGCACAGCATTTGGAACATGGTATGTTCTCCATAAATGTTAACTATCATTACTAGTTTAGTATCTGTTGATAGAGAAAATACATAATTGCAAAAAGGCTACAGGAATCTAGTTTAATTAAATGTCTCAGCTTCAGCCTTCTGAAAGTCCAGCCAATTCCCTGCCTGTCCCCCCATAACAAGTATAAACACGCAACTCTTGCAGAGGCCCGCCAGCAAGCTGCCCACCACCCACTCCATCCCAGCTCATAAAACAGAAAACAAATGCGACTACTATGTGGAGTGGGAGCTGGAACTGTTTCTGGCAGCACAGGCTCTCGGTCTTGGCAGTGAAAAAACTCACACAGGGGAAGGGGCCACAAGGAACACAGACCCAGAGGCCGCAGGTCGTGAACGTGTGTGGCGGGGAGGGAGGGTGGGGAGAGGATGACTTCAAGGGATCTGCAACCCCTGACATGCCCCAAGTGCTGTTTGCGCCTAAACTAAACTACAATACACATGTAATTGCAAACAAATCTGGTGGCTGCTGTGATGGACGAAGCCACTTAAAAGGGCCATCGATTTTCTGGTAGAACAACTATTATTATAACTATTATCATGTGGGGGTAGTCCATGAAATACACCAATGAAAAGGGTCTTTCTACATGAAGAATAGGGGAACTCCCTGACCAAGTCCTCTTGCTGCTAGAGGAGGAAACAGAAACCCAGAAAGGCTAAGTGCCTTGTTCAAGCCAGTTCAGCAGCAATAGGGACACCAGACCCAGGTGATGTAACTCAGTTTCTCTTCATCTCTCTCTTTAAATTAATCATATAGATGAGCCTGATTGTACCAATCCAACGGTCTCACAAGGCCCCTCAACAGGACCAGGCCTGCAAAAGCCATTTTTCCCCCCTTAGAAAATGAAGGAGAATAAACTTCTTAAGGCCTTGGTTTTAAGAGGTCCCTGCAGCCTGGAAAAAAAAATAAACCCTGTCGTACTCGGCAAGCATATGATTTATTGGGATTACAGTCCTATAAGTGGTGTCTTAACAACATGGAACAGGAAACGCCTCCAATTTCTAGCTCAAAGCAACCTCTGTTCTTCCTTGAGGTGGGCAGGGGCCTCAGAGTGAGAGGCAGGTTGGCAGAGGGGGCACAGGCCTGTAACTGGAGGCCATGAGACCCGAGACCCAGGCATGAGAAAGTCTTGTGCCTCTGTCTCCAACCTGGCAGGCCAAGTGTCTGGGGCCAGCAGGTCTGTACCCCTCTGCACTAACTCATGAGGAACTAGGCATGAGAACTCAGGCAGACCCTGGATGTGCCCACCTGCTGGGAAGGAAGGGCCTGAAGACCAGGCCTGAGCTTGGCCCTGGGGAGACAGGCCCATGGTTGAACTTCCAGCCTTGGCTGTGAGCACAGCAGGCTCTGGGGCATGGGCCTGGGGAGATACATTATTCCTTAGGCTTGCTCCCGAGAGACTTCCTCATCACCCTCTCGGCTATGCACCTCCCTGCCAGCGAGCACCCATGCAGTCCAGGAAAGCACTGGCCACAGATGATGATCAAGGGAGGGGCGGCCACCATGCTTCCCTTCCTCGGCCCTAAATTCTTCCACTAACTTTGCCCCACCTTCAACAGGGGTCAGAGCCAAGCACTGAGGTTGGATGGGATAATTTCCCCGCATTCACCCTTCTCACGGATCTTGCTGTGAAACACCCTGCTCCCACGCCCCTCCCTGTCTCGCTGCCTGGGCTGGGGCTGGGGGTGGCAAGTGGCACTGTCAGGAACTTGCAAATACGCCAAGCTTTTCCCAATCAAGACACAGCTCCACAAACAGAGACTTCTCTGGGAAGGTCAGGTTGGCTCTGCAGGGCCGGCTCAGAGGCCCTCACATGGATTCCCA